GACCTCTTTATTTTCTCTGATAACTCCTTGTGTCATCAGCAATCCTCGTTCTCTACTGTTAAAATATGATCCAGAATCTGACTGACCTTTTTTTTCTTTTTTTAATATTACTGCCACTTTCAACCATTTTAGTCCGAAGTACTAACCTTTTGCTGAATTATTGCCATAGCCTCTTAACTATAGGTAGAATAGATGGACAGTAGAAGGTAAAAAGAGTTGGTAAAGGATTTAGGGGAGCAGATTAGGTCCAAATTTCTATCAGCATATCTGATTCCAAATTCAGAAATCCATTCAAACTAATTTTCATGAAGAAGTGAAGAAAATATAGAAGGTAGACTGGATAAGGGGTAAGGCCTGGGAAAGTGACAAGTCAGAAGTGGAGATCCTACTTTCTACCTTCCTGGTGTCACAGTTGGTCACTATTTTTTGTTCTGTGTGTCTGCTCCTTTTTCCTATATTTTACCTAAAAATGGTCACTCTTAGTTTCATTGAACAAGAAGTAAAACTTGGCTGTTGCTCAGCTCTACTTTACATGATTCAGTATTCTTATAGTTTAGCCCAGTTAACAACTTTATATCTCAGTTTTAAATTCCCAGAATATTGCTGGGCTTGACTTATTTCATATGTCTACCTCTGATCCAGTAAGTTGAAATCTGGAAAGAAAGTCACCTGATAAAAATGCAGTTGCCCAAGCCTATCACTTTAGTGAACCCAGTCAGAAAACCAACTAATTAACATGTGTATTACAACTTAGCAATCATCTAAACTCAATACTCTGTTAAATGGTGTAGTAAATCAATTATTGTCATGCTCACATCCTTTGGGACTCAATAAACTAAAATTAAGTCAATAAAAATGAATGAGCAATGATGTAGGTTTGGTCTACTTTCCAGAAAATTTTTGTCAATATACAATTTATTAAAATATTTACTTTGTTTCTATTTTTTAGTTGCATTTACTATCCAGTTGCACCTATGAGACTAAAAAAAAACCCAGAGCCTTCCTTAATACTGTAACTTTTAAACAAGATAATGATTCAGGAATTTTATGAAATTCTGAATTTTTGGCCATTCATACATCATAATTGAGTGGGCTATCTTTCTTTTTGTGTGTGTGAATCTTTTTGTCTTTAAAATTTGCTTTTTCTTCTTTTTTTGTGCCTCATCTGTTAACAAAGTATTTTTTTGTGCCACCTGACTCATTTAATGTAATCTACCTAACTTTTCAGTGGTATGTTATTACACCATCATGTTTTGGCTCATTCTTCAATAAGCAGGGAAGAAAGATTCCATTTAGGAGACTATCACTTGCTCAAAGGCAGAAAGCTATTGAAATCAACATACTGATTCATTCATTAAAATAAAACAAACAAATATGAAATTTTCTAAGATATTATTGCACATGAAATTCTCTGTGTTGTTTTAAAATGAACAATGTTTTACATTTATGCTTAATACAAATTTTAAATTTTACATTTCCTTCTTCAATTTTCAAGTTTAATTTTACAAACAAAATAAGCAACTGAAACTGACTTGCTAGAAATACCATGAGCTTGAGGATCTGTTGTTTTATCTTTGCCATTATGAATGGATGTTTTTGGGGGCATTGGTATAAATATATATAAAGTGATTTCTAGAAGTGCTTTACTATTCCTGAATTCGAGAGGGATAAGATACAGCGCCCCAAATCTAATTACATTCATTTTAAATCTTGAGCATCTTCTAAGAACTATGTTTTGGGAATACTAGTTCATAATCTCATGAAAGTGATAAGGAAATAATTGTAACAAACAAAAACAAATACCTAAATTAAAAAATAGAGACCAGGCATAACTTGGTGATATCCTGAAGTTCCCTTCACCTAAAAATCCTGACACTGCACCAGGAAGTTGCCAATTTTTAGGACCTTCAGAATGCTGAGTAATGTAAAAAGAGCTTCATCCTCTACTCCTCAGCCCTCCCCCTGGGAAAAATCCTAGGGAGGAGGTAGTATTACCCTCATTTCACACATGAAGCCTTTGACCCTTAGGAAAGTTAAGGAAATTTAAGGAATTTAAGGAAAGTTAAGGAATTTTCCCAAGGTTGCACAGATTACCCAGGCAAGGATTGAGATTCAGGCAAGCAAGTCTGGGATTTTTCCACTACATGACCAGCCTCTGGGCAAGACACTGTTACTTCACCAGTGTTGGGATTTTTGCTTGTTTGTTTAAAAATAGTTCAACGATAATCAATGACCCAATCAATTTCTTTTAAACCTATGTGAAAAAGTAGATCATAAAATTCTTTTTTTTTGTCAGTATTAGGGCTTGAACTCTGGGCCTGGGTGCTGTCCTTTACCTCTTCAGCTCAGGGCAAGTGCTCTACCACTTGAGCCACAGCTCCACTTCCTAGATCACAAAATTCTAACGGTATATAATCTTCCTGTTTTGTAAATTTCTACATGGAGTTATTTGAAATTTTAAAAGGCTCTCTAGGAGTCTGGTATTGGTGGATCACACCTTCAATCCTTAGCTACTCAGGGATACTGAGATCTGAGGATCTTGATTCAAAGCCAGCTCTGGCAGGAATGTCCATGGGATTCTTATCTCCAATTAACTCCCCAAAATCCAAAAGTGGAGCTGTGGCTCAAGTGGTAGTGGGCTAGCCTACAGCAAACAAAGCTCAGAGACAGTGAGTGCCTAGGTCCTAAGTTCAGGCCTCAGGGTCAACACACACACACACACACACACACACACACACACACACACACACCACGCTCTCCACGTAATTGAAGCTCCACTTGAGACTGTGGTAAGCCCACTTAAAGCCAGAATTTCATTTTTATGCCTACAGTACCAAGCACTGTGTCACACAGCACAAAAATGTATTTCCGAAAAATTAATTAGCAAAACAAAAGTTCAGAGCCACTTGGAAAGTATTCTGAAGAGTCTTAAAATTTACCTTCATGCTCCTTTCTCCCGCGTGAATTTACATTCTACTTCAATACGTATTAAGCCAGGCACCCCGACCCCCACCCCCTCCCATTTGTAGGTTCCAAGGGGAAGGCTTCATCCAGGGATGCGAAAGATGGGTGAGAACTACATTTCCCGAAATGCATGAGCTCCCGTGGTAGTGATTGGCTGACTCTTTTTGAAGGCAAGTTATATCTGCCAATAAGATAACGAGAACTTCCAGAAGGGGGCTGGAGGCGACCAATCACAAGGGAAACGGCGAGAGCTTCAGAACTAACAGACCCTTTGTAGCTCCACCCTGTCTCTGTGTCTGTCTGTCTGTCTGTCTGTCTGTCTCTGTCTGTCTGTCTGTCTGTCTGTCTGTCTGTCTGTCTGTCTGTCTGTCTGTACCGTAGCGGGGAGGGGTGCGGGAAGTCAGTAACCCCAGGACTGTCCTCTCCTTCCTCACCTGCTGAATTCAGTTAGTCTTTCTGCGCTTCTTCATATTTTTCACACCTTTCCCAAGCTGTTCCTCGGTGTCCCCGATGTCTTTTCTAGTTGAACGGAGAGAATTTCCTCCAGCTGTACCCTCTCCCTCCCTCCCTCTCTCTGCCTTTGAAAACTTGAGCCCATTTCTCATAAGCATCAGACAGGTCTGAGCAAAAACTTCACCCAGTCTCCTGCCCCCTCTAGAAAGAGTCCAGAGGAGGCTCCGGGTGCCGCGTGGCCGGTCGGCCTTGCAGCGACCCACGGAAGGTTCGGAAGCCCGGGCAGCGCCAGCGTCGCTGACATCCGCTCCCCCCGGTCGCCCCCCGCCTAGCCTGCCCGCCGAATTCGGGGTGGCGTGTCGCAGGCCGGGTCGTGCACCCCTTCCCCTTTGGCTGCTGCGTATTGGGTTCCAGCAGCCACCGCCACGGCCAGACTGGTTTTACCAACTGTCAGAGCGTCAGGAAGGAGGCCGGGCTTCCCTCCCGGCGAGTCTCGCCTTTGCTAGTACCTTTCAACGTCTGCCATCCTTTTGTCGCTGACATAATCTTTTTCAATATCCTCAATCCAAACAAGTCCCACACAAAGCCCATCCGTAACGCGTCGGCGATCGCCCCCGCCCCCCCCCCCCCCGCCGCAGCCCCCGCTTCCCGACGGGGAGGACGCACTCCTTCCCCACCTCCGCTCCTCGGAGCGGATTTCCAGTCCCAGCTCTCCCGCAGCCCGAGAGCCGTCCGCATTTTGGACGATGCCAGCTGCAGGGGAAGCAGCTGCATACTCTGGCAAACGCGTTCGGGGTGGGAGAAATTCAGCCCGGCGTCTGGGATTTTCGCAGAGGATAATTTAAGCCCCAGCTTCTCCCGGGGCGCCGGGGAGGGGAAGGGAGGGGAGCGAGAGGGAGGGAGAGGGGGTGGAGGGCTGGCGGGGGCGGGCTGCGGGCGCGCATGCGCACTCCCCGCAGGCTGCTCCGGCGGAGGCCCAGCTGCCGCCACCGCCGCGGCCGGCGCTGTAACCGCGCTGCCGCCGCCACCGCTGCTGCTCGGGCGGGCGTCGAGTGCCGGGCGCCCTGTCAGACGAGAGGCGGAGCGGCTGAGGCGGGGCGAGTGTGTGTGAGGGGAGAACCAGCGGCGGCGTCCGCGGCCGGCAGCGAGGGCGGGCCCCAGCGGCGGAGGAAGGAGGCGGCAGCGCGGGGACCCACCCGGGCGCCCTGCGTGCGATGCCCGGCGGGCGGCGGCGCTGAGCGGCGGCCCGACGACGACGCCGACGCCGACGACGAGGAGGAGGTGGAGGCGGCGGGCGCGCTGAGGGACTGCGGGCCGGGCCGGGCCGGACCGGGCCGGGGGCGGGCGCGGAGCGGCGGGGGCCGCGGGGACATGGACGCGGCGGCGCGGGCGGCGGCGCGGGCGAGCCGGGGCGGCAGCGCAGCGCGGAGTCCGCGCGCCGCCAGGTGAGGCTGGGCAGAGCGGGCTCGGGGCGCCCCGCCGCGGCTGCCGCCCCCCGGGGGCCGCGGGGCCCAGGCGGAAGCGGCGCCACTGCGGCCGCGGTGCGCCGCGGCGGCCTCGGAGGCACAGGGGTCGCCGGCGGCGCCCGGTGGTGCTCGCGGCCGCCGTCGCCGCCGCCGTCGCAGCGTTTCCTGTGCGGATTATCCTCGGCTGCTCCACCTCGGGGCCCTCGGGCTGGGCTCCGTCGCCTCCCTTCCCCTCCCCAGCCTTCTCGCCCGGGGAGCTCTCCCACCCACCCCGGCGCTCGTCTCCCGCATCCTCCCTCCCGGGGCCGCCGGGGAGCCCCGCCGCCACCATGAGGAAATTCAACATTCGGAAGGTGCTGGACGGCCTGACCGCCGGCTCGGCCTCGGCCTCGCAGCAGCCCACGCCGCCGGCGCAGCAGCAGCACCCGTCCGGGAACCGGGAGCCCGAGATCCAGGAGACGCTCCAGTCCGAGCACTTCCAGCTCTGCAAGGTGGGCGCCGCGCGCGCGACGTCCCCGGGAAGAAGAAGTACACCTCGGGGTCTTTAAAATCAAATGATCCGGAGCGGGGTGCTCTCGCCAGCGGGGGGCGGGGAGGCTGTCCAGGGGTGGCGATCGAGGGCTCGTCCTCCTGCCTGGGCAGCTCTTTCCTGGATGGGCTGTTCTGCAGATTGGCACCAGTCTTTTTTTTTTTTTTTAAAGGATTTGATTCCCCCCCCTCCCCCCCCCCAACTCCTCTTTTCATATGCAATAATCGTATCAAGCCTGTTGCGGAGGCATTCGCTATTTGACCTTTTAATTGGTACCCTGATACGGTTGTCAATAACCGGGGAGCCTTTTCTAGAAAAGTCAAGTTTTTTTTTAAAAAGGGTCGTTCACTAAAACTTCCCGATTTCCTTGGGAAACCGTGTCTGCTGAATGTTGTTTGTCGGGAAGGCAAACCTGTTCCTCCAGCTCTGAGCTCATCCCTTTTTTCGCTTAAAAGGCGATCCGAGTCGGAAATCACACGGTTCTTTATCATTATGTGTGGCTAAAGAAAAAAAAAAGTTCCTGCTGTGAATCTTGGCCTGTTAATGGCATCGTGATTGCTGTAGCATTCTGTAATTCAGAAAGAATGATGCAGCGAATTAATTCAGCAGCGGCTCAATGAGAAGTCCAGACTTGGCTTGGTTAATATCTGCCTTTCCCCAAAGCAGCCGTGTATTCCTTCACAGTTCGGTTTCTTAAAAGTGTGTGTGTGCGTGCACTTTTTTTTTTAGCTCTTAATGTCCTAAAATCATTACGGACTTAGGAGTGCATTGCAAACATAGTTTTTGTACTCCTTTTCTTCCTGTTACAGTAGCAAAATGTTGCAGTGTTAGGCTTGCTAATGTTTTTTTACCAGATCCTTGACTAAAACAATTCATTATTGGGCAGCATATCCTTAGAAATAACTTGGATCTGACATTCAGATAAAGCAGTGGTGTAGTGATTACTCGATATAGAGAGAAATTGCATTTTTATAAATGAATATACAGAATTTTGGACCCCTACAAACTTCAGTAACTTGACGTCAGTCATAAGAGTATACAATTGTGAATAAGAAATTTTTATCTATAGAGTACCAGTGTTAGGGAAAAATAGAACTTATTGTGAAATGCTAGCATAGATTGTGCAGGTAGATTTCACCTTTTTTTGTTTTTGGAAAGCAGTGTGTGCATGTGTATATGTTTTGTATAGAGTTCTCATTCTAACGCTTCTGTTGACATTAGTTTTGAAATTTTGCTTGCTGCCTATGTTGTGATGTCACTTGTCCATCCTAGACTGTTCGCCATGGATTCCCCTACCAGCCCTCAGCCCTGGCCTTTGATCCTGTGCAGAAGATCCTGGCAGTAGGAACTCAGACTGGTGCTTTAAGGCTGTATCCTTTCTTTAATTTTACTTTTTCTTTTAAATTTTATTTTTCCTAGTCCCTTTGTATTACTGAAATTGATTACATTAAAAAATTCTTGCTTTGTCTCAAAGATATGGTGTAATGAGGCATTGTTATGAGAAATAATGTGGTATTGGCTTTTCTCTTGATTATATTTGGATTGTGTGTTGTGATGGTTCTCAGCTCTTATTTTATAGCACCCATTGAAACATGGATCAGAAGTTTTTTGTGGTACATACTTTGCTGTAAAAGTTTCTAAAGGAAAATTTATCTGCCTATACTAGTAGTCTGTTGAATAAGGTATGTTAGGGGAGAGGTTCGAATACAGTATAATATGGTAGACTTTATGATTGCTTTAAAAAATAATGTGCATAGTAGAGGCTGAACTTATGATTTGTTTACTATCCTAATGAATTTGAGGTTGGATCCAAATTTGATTTTGGTTGTTTTCCACACATCCATCTAGAAAATTCATTAGCAGAAGGCAAATGCAACAAATTTTTAATTTCCTATATGTAGTTCTGAAGGATTAATATTTCTAACAAATTTTAGATCATGAGTTGTAAAATTCATAGGGATTGATTTGTACTTATTTATGGGCTAGTAGTACACTAAAGTGTTGGTACACAAAGAATTACTTTTATCATATGCAGTTTTTTCAAATACTTGAAAAGATTTTTTTCAACAATATCTCTTCAATTTGATAATGAAGACTTTCTCACTTCTAGTTACTATTGAACTTCAGAAAAAATTTGCTTGTTTTTATTATGACCTTTAATCATACTTAAATACTTACTTTCAACTTAAAATATTGTTTTAAAAGAGAATGCTTTGCTCATCTATGCATGTGTATCTCCTTCTTATTGAGTATTTACTGTATCCACCTATTTACTGAGTTTGTAGGTTGTAATAATCTGAAAAATCACTAGATAACCTCAGGAGACTTGACAGTTGTTCCAAAACAGGCTAGCAGGAGCTTTACTTGTTTACATTTTGGATTTATGAACATTTGAGTTAAATATGTGCCTTATATTTTACTTACAATTTTTAAAATGTTTCATGTGGAAGTGTCTTAAATTATATTCCTTCATTAGTAAGCTCTTTTCAAAATGTCATCTGGTGGGCTGTTGAACTTTGTTACTACAGCAGTGAAAGTGAAGTTTCCTTTATATAGTAAATACCAGTAATGCAATCCTTTCCATGTAAATGGTGAAATCTGACCAGGCTTTTCTGAATCTGTTAACTGCCAGGACAGTATGTTTCAACTGCTCTACCCAGAGGTTTAGATAGCTGAGACTCATATGTTTTGGCTTCTGTTGTTTAGATATTTTTATTCCTGAGTCCTGTTATTTAAACTCTGTAGTTTATACGTCCTATTTTAGTCTTATGAAGATAAGAATAGTTAATTTTGTTGGTGTTCAGCAAAACTTGGTGATGTCAAGACTAGAGCATTGTTCTAGAAGACTTTTTGGAACTAAAAACAGTTTTTTCTCCAACAGAAGAATTACTTCACTGGACTAGGGAAAAACTCAAACTTGAATTAACCAGTTTGTTTTCTTTTTAAATTAGTTTTCTTTAAAATGAGATTTCTTAGTGTGTTCTTAATAGTTTCATGGTATATAACTTTTTTTTCAAACGTCCAATCCTGTCCTTTATAATTTAATTGTAAGTTCTACAAGCAAGGCTGATTTTTATAAAACCAAATGTTATTCTTAGCTACTACTTTTAACCATTATACACTTGAATAATTAGCAAGTGTGCACAAAAGTATAGTAAAAATGTTAAGCCTCGTGTTAACTTGCCAACTAAAAGCAAAGTGTCCAAAATTCTCACTTGCATATGACTTTTAGTATGTTGTTTTTTAGAATCTCCTTACTGTACATTTAGGATTTGAAAAATTGTTTACTACATCTCTGCTTTTCCTTTTTATAAGATTTGTGTGAACATTTCAGAGTGACAAATTGGCCTGCCTATCAGTAATTCTATGTAGCCCTTCATTCCTTCTGTTGGTTTAAGTAGATGAGCTTATGAGCTTTATTTGTTATGGCTCTGATTTATAGAAAATGACTAAGACCTTTTTATTTTTGTCTCTTTTCCCCTGTGATTTAAAATACTCCTTAGCTTCTTTGCTAATTTTTGAAACTGGGTATCTAAATTTATAAATTCTAATTTAGAGCTCCATATTGGTTTAACATACATATTTATTATGTCTGTTGATTTTTACAGTTGTGTTTCTCCTTGTTGCAGCTTATTTCTTTTAATCTTCTCTCTTTTGTTCTCCTATCAGACTCTTGCAGTCTATAATGTATTTGCTGTAAAATGTGTTTTATGGAGAGATATGTCTTGATAAAAATTTTAAAATAAATTTATAGCAAAACATAGGAAATGTTTTACAAAGTACATTTGGGCTAGCTATTAGAATTTCAAGGCTCAGTAGTAGAGTGCTTGCCTTGCATGCATGAGGCCCTGGGTTTAATTCCTCAACACCACATAAGCAGAAAAAGCCAGAAGTTGCACTGTGGCTCAAGTAGTAGAGTGCTAGCTAGCCTTGTTCTGAAGAACTGAGGGTCAGAGCCCAGGCCCAGAGTTCAGGCCCCATGACTGACAAAAAAAAAAAAAAAAAAGCATATATATTGTAGTTGCCTAATATACTTCTCTTAACATATCCTAACTTGATCTGCCTATTGAGTTCAAAACCAAACTAAATACACCTCCCCACAAACAAAACAATTAATGAGGAAGCTATATTTGGTATCTGTTTATACTCCTTAGTGAAAATTTAAATCCTTAACTAACCAATAACCAGGCAAAATGGATTTAATCAGTTTACCATATTAATATAAAGAAAAAGAGTGATGCAATAATTATGTTTGTTTTTGCCTCATGAGAAAATGAGAGGTTAGATTGTATGTCTTGATAAGAAATAGGAAAGCATTCAGGGTGCCTGCTTTCCTTGCTGCTCAGGAGGCTGAGAACTGAGGATCACCTTTTGAAGCCAGTCCATGCAGACAAATCTGAGAAACTCTTAACCTCAATTAACCAGCAAAGAGCCAGAAGTAGAGATGTGGCTCAAGTGGTAGAGCTCCAGTCTTTAGTGAAAAAGCTAAGTGAGAGTGTGAGGCCCTGACTTCAAGCTCCAGTAATTGTACAAAAAATAAAACAAATCAGGAAAACATAACTATATACCAAGTCATAAAGTACTGATATAATTAATTGTCCTAATTTTTTTGCTATATAGACATACAATTTTTTAATGAATAATCAGGCAATGGACTTTGGATTAAAATAATCCATTATCAATTTGCATATGGAAATGTAAAATCAAAAAGAGTCATGTTGAAAAATGGAAGTAGTTTTGTCATGCTGTTGGTGTCTTTACCTAGATTTGTGCTTTACTAGTATAATTTCAAATTACTTCATGCTGTATGAAACTTTTAATATAAAAATAACAAGGGGATTTTTCATATTAATATTTCAGGTAATAGGAAAAATATAATAGCTGATTTGTTTCATTGGTCTAAAATTTTAAAATGTTAAACGCATCATTTATTTTCTTTTTTGACTTATGGAAAATATAGATAGTGGAGTAGGCGGTTTTTAATAAGATGTAGACTTAAATTGCAAACTACATTGCTAGAGACAGATTTACAAAATGACTTACACCTGGAATCCTTTACCAAGAACTTATTAAGAGTCAAACAATGTTAGATTAAAAATTGTGGCCTGAATTCTGGTTCTCCTCTTTTCATTAAGGATTTTTATGTCCTTAGTTTTTTTCTATCAAAATGAAAATGCTCTGTTAGGTGATTTTTTTTTTTTCAGAGACAGTTCTTTGATTTCAAGTAGCTACATAGGATTCTAGGGGAGAAATGAAAAGCATGAAAATGTGATTCTTACCTCCTAAAGGTTTTCATAGGATTAGAACTAGATAAAGAAATCTGAAATTCCTGCACATCAATACAGGAGTCAGAATGGCAGAGAAAGAAGTAGGAAAAATCCAGGCAAGCAGAAGTGTATAGGTATGTATAGTTAGAAGGAATACTAAAACTGTGATGATGACAACAAACACTGATTCTAATTGAGTTAGGGTAGAAATAAGCCCTTGGTGAAGGGCCTTGAATGTTAACCTGAGTATCTATGTGTTACACAATTAGTAAGCACAGTTTCATAAGGAAATGTTTGATGGGAAGAAAATGTTATTTTTTTAAATGTATGATTACTGGAATATCATGGATGAAAAGAATATATAAGTAAAACCTCATAGTTGCGAGTCATCATATAGGTAGTATTAAGTAGATCCTAAACAGGTGTGGGCTAATGAAATTGGAGGATTTGATATCCTCTGTGTAGAAAGTTTTCAGGAGTGACTAAGGCTGATAAAGATTTGTAGAGATAAAGTATAGTGGAAATGACAACGCAGAAATGGAAAACTTGGCAAACAGGTGGTAGTGAGATGTTGAGTTTATGTCAGCTTTCACATTTATTATGCTTTTTTTATAAGGCAGCTTAGATTTACTTAACAGTATTTGATATAGCTTACTTTTGATTTCAATTACGAGCTCATTATTGGTGATTTCCTGAATTTTGGTTTTGAATTGATATTTTGAATCATTGTTAGCACTTAGGCTTTGCCAGTTTATTATTCTGTGTTTCTCAGTATTTGGTAGCATTTGGGGCAATTTAATTCTGTAAACTTTTGCAGCATATTTCAAGATATTTAATATTCCTGGCTCCCTCATTAAATGCCAGTGTTACCTTCCTTCTCACTGTGGCAACTGAAAGACTCTCACACACTTCAAGGTGTGTCTAGTTGAGTTAAAACGGAGTGGACAACCCAACTCATATGACTATTATCAGGGGTAAGCATCATAGAATGTGTGTTGCTTTTAAGACATTCTCAGACATTTCGGTGAATGCTCAGTATTATGATGTATATTATGAGTATTTCTCTGGCATTAATTTTCAGGTCATTTATTCATGTTTCTGCA